CCCCCCCTGCCCCATCCCTCTCGTCGCCGGAAACAACCCTAACAAACCTCCACCCAAGCATCCAGCCCCAAATTCTTCAATACAGTCGAAAACCCCGCCGCCCCATTCCCCTGACACGCCCTACTCTTCTCCTCCTCCGCAACCTTCACCTTCCCCACCCCCCCCCCCTCTCCCTCCCCGTCCCCCTCGCCCACAGCACCAGGATACTCAATATGAAAAACCGGCTTCCCCGCGGCCACAAACGGGGCATACGTCTCACACTCCCCCATCTCCACACACTGCTCATTAACACACCACTGCATCTCCGCGATCACGTCGGGGATAATGCCGCCGGCGTTCTTCAAGCCCACCGCCATGCCGCGCGCGTGGGCCTGCTCCGCCAACCATTTCACGAACTCCACCGCGTCGGAGGCCGTCAGCCCCAGGCCGTTATCGTTATCGTAGCCGTCCACGTTGTCGGGGTCGACGCCGTCGCACCCCTTCTGGGCGGCGAGGTCGAGGCGGGTGGCGAGGACGGCGCGGACGTCCGGGGAGCGGATGTCGAGCCATTGCTCGTCGGGCCAGCCGTCCAGCGTGTTGCCGAGGGTGGAGGCGGGGAAGGCGGCTTTGTCCGGGCGGTAGGACTCGTAGCTGCCGGCGGAGAAGTAGCAGATGACTTTGCGGTGCTGGGCGTGGAGGTCGGCGATGGTGGCGGCGTCGTTGAGCCAGAGGTCGAGGTCGTAGACTTCGGTGGAGGTGGTGGTGGTGGTGATGGTGCTGGGGTCGATGGGGTCGGTGAGGATGATTTGCCAGGTTGTGCCGACTTGGGGTTGCCAGATTGTGGTGTTGCTGTTGCCGCTGCTGCTGGAAGAGGAAGAGGTCACGGCGCTGGAGCTGCTGGCTGAGGGAGTCACGGCGGTGGAGGGGGATGAGATCGTAGTTGCGGTGAGGGCCGTAGAGGTAGGGTTGGGGCTCGCTGTCGAGGTGGTGGCGTGGTGAGGGTTCCTCCACTTCGAGGCCTCGCCGACTCCCAGGAATAGACTCAAGGCCAGAAGAATGAATTGATAAAGGAACGACATGGTGAGCAGTCAATGACCTCACTGTCTTCAGGCAAGGAACGAAACGTTTGCGAAAGAAGAAAGGAGTGGCACGGATATCAAACCCGGGATTTTTTGTTGAAAGTAGTCGTACGAAAAAAAAAAAAGGAGTGTCACAGATATCAAACCTGGAAATTGTCAAAAGCCTGGGCAGTAGAAAGGAAAGGAGTGTCACAGATATCAAATCTGGAATGTCGTGTACGAGAAACCTCCCCAAGTCGAGGCTGGAAGGGGTTCATACTTATACACCTGCAGGGAAAGAGGGGGTCCCCCGTCCCATGGCGCTATCGTAGTATTCACCGGTTGACATTCAACATCCAGATGCGCTGGCCAGGGCCTACCAAGACAAGCCCCAGTTTCACAATTCACCATCGGCATGGTGGAAATAACGGTGTGTGCCTTCTTCTTGCCCACAATAAAGCGATCCTTGCAACTCCCCAGGTACCGGTACCTGCCAAGTCTGATTCCGTCAAGCCACGAGCGATGAGCAATCGATGCAGTGGTGGGCTGTTTCAGTTCGATAAAAGTCCCTTTGATTGGCGGTGGCGTTCGAAATCAACGAGAACCTAAGCCAGCCAGGGTCCGACTTTCATTATCCGACGCCTGGTAAGGCGGGGTCATCAATTTCTTTCTCCGGACAGGACCGAGAAGAAAGGGTCCAATAGCCCCCAGGTACCGGTACCTGTGCCCTGTCACCCTGGCTTCTAGACCCGGCATGGCGCACATCACAGTCGCATGGCACTCAGGCACAGCACCAAACACGATCTGGGACCGCCCTACTTCCGGGAGGGGGAGGGGGGGGGTCACTTTCAGATCTCATCACCTAATTTGTGGAAGCACACTAGGTACCTAGTCTGATGCAGGGTCTTTTGAATTCGAGGGGCGGAGAATTCTCCGCGGTGGCTGACCGTCCCAAGGACGCTAATCGGAGGATTGAGGGTGGGATGCAGTCTTGCATGCAATCCCGGCGGGTAATTTGGAACGGGCCACTGCAACTGCAACTGGGCCATGCTCGAGTCACCTTGTCGCGGGTGAAACTGTGTGACAAGCACATCCGCATTGATTGTGGGTTTGGACATGTCAACTTGATGGATTGGCTTTTGTCGCCTGGTTGGACCAATGATAGCGGCCTCTACCCGATCTTTATACCCCGAAGCAAACAGACGGGATCCATGATCATGGATGCCAAGCAGGGTCTTCGGACAGTGGGGGGGCAAGATGACCAACAGGAGGTCAGAGCTGAGGTGAGATGGTTCTTGGCAAGATGGCAGCCGAAATGCGTAGGGACGCCATGGCTGAGGTGTGAGAACGAATCGCAATCAAGAACTCAACAAAGAATCACTTCTTCGAGTAGACTGATCATCTCATGACCTGCTTCTGTTAGAGATTCGACAGGTAGGGGCGATGAATTGGAATCTCATTGAGCGATGCCATCAGATCAACCCTGCAATTCGTAAGAGCTTATGCGACATCACAGTGGACCTTCGTCAGGGTCAGGGCCAGGACAAGGGTTTATTAGTACCACCTGCATATCACTAAGTACAGTACTCCGCAGGGTACCAAACCAGCGCGACGACGAGACAACTTACCCACAGGTCACTCTGTCAACTCAAACCAACAAATAAGCTCGAATGAGTCTGACAGCAAGACAACTTTGACGGATTGGCACAGTAAATATACAGTTGCATTGTTGAAAGCTAGGTTAACTTACCTTTTAGTAGGCCCGAAAAACTACCACTCCATACAAACATCACTTAGCATCCGAGTCCCACTCAACCCAGCACATACATATATCATAAGACACAACCACAAGCCCAAATACCACCCACCCCACATTGAGTAAACAAAATCTCACGCCTCTCCACTTATTCCAGAACATCGAACATCAACCAACTGGAACAAAGTGGGTACCCACCCTCCATCCTGAAACCGATCTCAACCCGACAATCCGGATCAACAAAGAAGATCTCAAACAGGCCCATGACTCAAGGAGCCAACAACTGCTTTTCAGGGAGGACAATGCCGAAGCGTACGTGGCTGTGAAACAAGGGGTCCGTCGGGGGGGGGTGGGAAGAGTCTGTATCCTTTCTGAGAATCCCTTCGAAGATTGTTTTGGGCTGTTGAAAGGAGAAAAGATTCGATTGCTTCCTCTAAGGGGTGTGTTTTCAAGTACGTAAGACTCTGCAGCCGGGTCTGATGTACGGTACTTCTGCGATAGAGTAAGGTTGTGTAGATCGTCGCTTAGGTCGCAGATCCAACTTCTAGCTCATCAAACACAAAACATCATTCAGCCATGATCTGCAACCACCTACGATCATCGTGTACATTAGAGACAATAGACCAAATAACGCCTTACGAGGAAGGACACCCGAACTAATTGGACCTAAGTAGCTAAATACAACGAATGCTATGAACATATAACTCGCGCAACAATAAACATCAACAGCAACCCAATGCACCTCAATCAATATAGTCAGTCATAATCATTACATGTCTCCTAATAAGTACACCATCATAGACATTACCGCTGCATACATTGCACAGTCATCCCCGGTCGCGGACCTCACACACTATACATTACCCCTCCATATACCAGACACTTTTAATGAGATCCTAGGACGAAACCGACGTCACGCATGCAATGTCAACCGGAACGTCTTCAAATCACGTGGCGAGGGCAGAACGATGATATGGTCCTCCGGACTATCAGGGACATAGAACTCCTCGTCCTTCCAGGGCAGATTCCACGCCGGCGGATGGATCGCCTGGGGCGCTGTGCCCATCCCCGTGCCCGTGCCCGCGGATCGAGTGCTCGTGCGTAGCCCGGCGACAGCGGCGGCGGCATGCCGAAGGGGTGACGGCGGGGGGACGCGCCGGATGTCCGCCTCGGACATGGTGCGGACCGGCCCCAACCGTGCTATCGGGCGCAGCGGGATCATCGGGCTCCCCGGGTTAGTGGAGGATTGGGGGTGGTCTGCTGCCGGTGTGGTGCGGATGGTGGTCGTTGGCGAGTTGGTTGTCTTCTCGTGGAGGCTCATGTATTCGTGCTGAGACATGCGCTGGGAGAGTCGGCGCGGAGAGACATTGGATATGCGACGTGGAGACGGGTGTTGTGGTAGGCTGTCTTGACGGGACAGGTCGTCTAGGGACTTTGCGGCCTCTGGGTCAGATGGGTCGCTTTCGGGTCTGCGGGCAGGAATCGGTTGGCGGTTGAACAGGGTCCGGAGGGTGACGCCCGGCCCGCGCTTGACTCGCAACACAACCCACGTTGCGAGAAGAACGCCTAGCATAAGGGCCGCTGTGCCCCATACCGGTAGTCAGTGCTTAAGGTTCGGAGCATTTCCTCCTTCAGTCGATCAGTGCAGCTTACCCAAGAGACCCAGGGCCAGTCCGACCCGTCCTGACAGTGAGAGAGCATGGCTTCGTTTCTGGAGGCTGCGCATAAATGGCTGGAAAAGAGTGTGTGACAGACGCGTTCGTCGCGAGATCGAGGCAAAAGGCATTCGTAAGTGTCGTTAACCACCAGGGCTCAGCGTTGGTTCATGAGTCGCTCAAAAACGAGTGGAATTCTTCAGGGTGAAGAAGGGAAGAAAAAGCTAACAGACCAGCTGCGCAGGGCACGAAGAACGAGAGTTGGAGAGAAGCGTCAGTGGCTTGGACGCTCGATCCAGCTTGATATATCACAGTATTTCGATCCAGCGAACGTCGGCAGGATATATCACAGTGCTTCGATCTGAGTTAGCGAACGTCGACAGCTCCCAGCAAAAGAGGGGGAAGGTTTGGCTTGAAACTGGGAAGTTGAGTTGCGTGGTATCATGTTGCAGAATTTACGTATCACTTTTAACCTTTGTGCAAGTAATCAAGATGAGACGGTCGGCCTACGAAAAAGCCTTTTCTCGGCCCCTGACGCGTTCTAGGCCAGGCATTTTGATCCAAAGATAGTCAGAAGGTGACCTACTAGGAGTTGGTGAAACGACGGATTGTGTCTGACTCGTATAATCAAGTCTACTAACCCGGAGGCTCGGACCACCGGCAAGGACGGCCATACGCAGTAACCCTGCAGATCCGATGGCTGAAGAAAACACTTTGAGTGTCTAGCAGGTTCTGGCAGAGGCATCAGTCAGCATATGACATATTGGTTATATGTGATGTTATTATATATCACGTACAAAGTAGTGAGTTGTGCAGTGGCAGCCAAGTTTCCAGCGTGTAAATATACCGTAACTACCCCGGGTTTCGGTTTCGTCAGTGGCTCTCCGACCAAACGGTTCGCCGTTTCCACTAGGAAACCCAACAAGGGGGGGCTGGGGGGCTTGCCCCATCGAAACGAATTCACATGGAACAGAAAGAAGGAGTTGGGACGATCCCGGTTCATGCAGTAGACCAAGTTGAGTTTCTTGAGTCAGACCAACAACTTTGGCGGTCGCAAAGCCACGTTCATGTCTCAGTTGAACAAGAACATGGGTTCGTTGATTAGTAGGCAGTGGTTCCATCCATAGTAATCTAGTAACTTAGCGTTTAGTACTGTACATAAGATGATTCGCGCTGCGCCATCGAGTGTCAGATAAGCAAACGCCGTGGGTGTGGGTGGAATTCGACTCCGCCTCCTACTAATACTTCGACCTCGGCTTGCGCACCATACAATAGAGCTAGACATGAGATCAGCAGGCATACACACAGACACCACACCACCATAAATTCCGCCCCAACGATGGGATAATTGAACGTCCACTCACCATGCACACATCCTCCCCATCCCTACACTCCATCTCCTTCTTCATCTCAAACCCCATCTTCTCGTAAATCCGAACGTTGGGCTCATTCCGCGAGCTCTCCAGGTAGCATTTGACCCCCTCCTGGTCCGCCTTATCCGTCACGGCCTCGAAGAGCTTCCGACCAATACCTTTCCCCTGCGTGCCCGGTCGGACGGCCACGATATTACAGAAATAATACCCCTTGGGGTCATCCCAGATCTGGCTCTGGGCCTCATGCTGACGGGCCTTCCAGATCCAATAGCGATTCGTGCGCAGGCCCCCGCGGCCCCAATGGCGCAGGTTGTTCAATGCCTGGCGAGCAGTGAGCAACCACCCTTGCGACCAGGTATACCAGCTCTCGGGCTCGGAGGGTGAATGGGGCGGGAGCCAGCAGGAGACACCCACGACGCGCGAGGTGGCCGTTCGGTCGCCGGTCGCATCGCCCGTATCGTCATCCGGTGTCTCCTTGGCGACTTGAAAGATGGCGTTGTTGATGCCCCAACGGCATCGGACAGCGAGAGAGTCATGATTTCGTTCTTTATTGAACTATTGTGCATTGGGGGGGACCTCACATGACGAGCAACGTTGGTCGGGGAGAAACCCCACGCGACCCGCGCCAGGAGGAGACCGATTAGCTTTGCTTGCTCTTCTTATTGACTATTATCATTCCCAGAGGTCGCCCTCTGTTGGGGAGGGAATTGAAGAACCCTTACGCATCAAAGTCAAGGAATGAAAACTTACATTGGCAGCATCGAACACCCACTTGAAATATGGATCCTCTGCGAAGGCCGATTGGATGATCTCGATGGCGTCGGGGATGTCGGCCTCTGTGAGGGGGACAACTTCAATAGCCATGTTGGCGTTGGGTCCTCTACAGCTGCACAGCAACGTAGAGTAACAGGTAAGCTTATTTTGGGGGTTGGGCAGAGGCGAGGCGATGATAGTTCAATGAATGAGCGAGAGAACGGATAGATTTGACTCAGCACCTGCAGCGCAGTAGAAAGTCTGCATACAACCAACCAACTAAGTAACTACCTAACTCGGTGTAACAATAGGCGCTTGTCCGATGGGATCTTGTGACCTGAACTCGAAAGATTTGTGGTGCACTGTTGAGATGAGAATTTATTCGAAGCTTTGCAAGATGGGAGATAGAGAAAGATCAATTGAACATGAACCGAATGAAGAGAAAGGGAAGATAGGAAGATAGGAAGATAGATGGATGTATGGGGAAGGCAGAATGACGGCAGAGGCCGATGGAAAAAAAGGCCAGAACAATTGGCGGCGGCGGAATGGAGCGCCACAGCTCGACCCAAAAAAGGCAGCTCCATGCGATTTCCAAGTTCCAAGAGATTAATGAGTGTCAAAAGTCCCTCCTCCACCTTATCACCTGTCACGCCTGTTGCCTTGCTGCCTATATCGAAGCTAATCCATCTACGCATCTGCAAGCCCTTAACAGTTAACAGCACTACCAGTAGTCCTATGTAAGGGATCCCCATCTGTAGGTCGGTGGGTCCACGTTTGTAGTCTACTATGTATGAACCCATGGAGACATCTGTGGTGCGTTGCGACGACATTAAGACATCGCATCTTGTATTCTTTCAGATCAAAGTTCTGAAGGGTGGTATCTAAAAACAAATGTAATCATGCCGATAAAAGTGTTTATATGGTCAAAAGATTGAGAAATGAGAAAAAAAGGAATGATCGCTCGAGGTAATGCAATCCGTCAGTACAGGCGCCGACCATATATCCAGTCCATCTGCGCCCTTCCCAGAAACTCAAAAGGTAAGCTTGACACATATTCATCATGGAAGTCACCTTTACATGCCTCCATATGTGCAGAGGGTATCTTTCAGTGACTCGTCAACTCCGATCCTTTCCTGTAAGCTCGATAAGATAGACGAAAAAAAAAGAAAAAGCATAAACGTCGTGAGGTCTATTCCAGTGTCATCGGGACATCAAGACCCAGCCTGCCATGGGCTAGGAGGTGACAATCTATTCCAGGCGCACCCACTCGCGGGGAACGTCCATGCTGCGATTCACACGGCCTCCCGGAGTCAGAGGTACATCGACACGCCCAAGGCCCCGATCGTCATCGGCGTGCTCCTCATAGAATGACAACCGCGAGAAGTAATCCTGCAACACGGCCTCTCGATCATTGTCTCCAACGATGGTATTGTACTCCGGGGGAGGAGTGACGAGAGGCGGCGGTGGCTCGAGCTCTTCGAAGGCAGGAGGTGCAAATGACGGCGCGCGAAGGAGATGCATCGGTCGCGGTGGGCGGTCGACCGGTTCATCAGCCAGATGCGCCTGTGGTGGCCGGGTTAAGCCACCGGAGCTGTTGGTAAAGCTTCTCGTGACAGCGCCTCCGTTGGGTCGCTCATCTCGGTCGGAGGAGGAAAGCGATTGTCGGCTGGAGCCCGCCCGGTTGATCAGGGGTGCGCCAGGACAACCGCACTCGTACTCCTGTGCCTGTGGGGTTGGCTCCGACTCCGGCGAGGTGTACGCCGGGAGGTAGATGTTGGCCTGCGTGGCCTTGCAGGATAGCAGGTGGAACGGAGAATCGATAGAGATCTCGAAGTGTCTTCGCTTGCCGGGGTCTCTCTCATCGACCTTGGAGAGGCGTAAAACAATCTGAATTTCAAATTAGATTGCAAACATTGCCAATCAGCATGGAAATATCTTACCTTGATCCAGTGGTTTATTTGGATGTTCTCGTATGTGGTATCAAAGTGTAGTCGTTGAGACTCGTCCCGGTTGCGCATTTCTTGACAACTCGGCAACTGGACATTGAATTCCATCTCCGTCGGACCAACTCCCGAGTCGCTAGACAGATTGCCAAGAAGATTGGTTCGGTTTCGATCCACCACCTCCTGACCCCGAGCAGCGGCTGCGCGCTGGTCCCAGTCAATGCCACCCCCTGCCGTGACTCGCATCGAGCTTCCCGGATAGGTACTGGTGCTGGCAGAGTCGGCTCGTTTCTCAAACAGTAGAACTTTCTTCGCCGGCTGAAAACGATGCACACTTTTGTCTGCAGTCCAGTGTTGAATATTCTCCGTCACATAGACCTTTATCCGATGACACTCGACCTTGGCCAGGGGGGTCAGCTTGAAAGCAATAGGGACTTGCGATCCCAGAGGGAATGATTTCCCGGAGATCACGATGTCGTAGTGCAGCTGATCTTCCCAGTTGCGCGAAATTGCGATCGGTTCGACCTGCTCCAGCGAACCCTCCGCCGGGGTGCGGATCACCGGAACCTCTAGACTACCGAGCAAATTGGGCCGGAATGCACCGGCTCTTTCAACTATCGCCTCGAGGTCATACTGAACGAATCCCAGGTCGGTCTTGATTGTCTCTGGGAGAGAACCATCGATCGGGAATTCGAAACTGTAGAGGTAATCGCCCACGGGGAACAGGCGGTAGTTGCGTGGCGGATGGACCGGCGGAGGTGGCGGATCATTCTTACCAAAACTCCGAGAGTGGTTGGAATTTAGGGATAGTCGCTTGAGGTCCTTGGCAGAGAACTGGCCGGTGTGGCTCAACGAGGTTGAGGATCCGGTCTTGGAAAGCAGTTCCCGGGTGATCAGGGTCGGACCCTCCTTGCCCGTCACAGAGGTTACCGGCTTAGCGTGCTGATAGAAATGCGCACCGTAATCATTCTGCATCAGTGCCGTATCGCCATGGTTGAAGTACATTACTCCATGTGTGACGAGATCCTTTTTATCGTGAAAGTGAACTTTCTTGGGCGGGATACCTGTCAACGAAACGATTTGTCAGTGGATCCGCGTAAGAATGATCGATGAAGGAGGGAGAAGAGTTACCGTCTGGCCAATCAGTCTGCGCATGCCCACGGAAACAGATCGAAATCTTCTTCACCTTCACGCTTTTGGTGATTTTAAGATGCAACTGCCCGCGAAGAATGGCCGACTTCTTAGTACTGGGGTCATTCTGATCATATCCTTGCAGATATAGCACTGGCTCAGTGAGTGCGATTCCCACCGAGATCCCACTTCCTGTGGCGACTATCTTCTCGTTGCGCAGAGGAGGGAACGGCACGGCCGGATCGGAAGACGGGATGGAATGAGCGGAAGCCGGATAAGGTTGGCTGGAAGAGACAGTGGAGGAAGAATGCGAGCGCAATCGGCCAACTCTTAGTCCCGAGGTGGTGAGCATTGTGGCATCGTTGGGGTTCAAAACGAGCTCAGACACGGGGCGATGGGAATGTGTTTGAGTCATTGGAGGAGGAGGGGAAGGAGGAGAAGGAGGAGAAGGTAGAGGAGGGGAGGAAGCGGATGGTGGCGTAATGGAGGGCGCAGAGTGGATCAGGGACCCCAAGCGGAACAGACGCTTTGCGTTTTCCCGCGGACCCGCCAACTTCTTGAGGATCGAGGCGCGACGACGGAAGCCTCGTCTGGCCGGTGGTTGCCCGACAGTGGAACTAGTATCGCTAGCAAGTGTCGATGTCTCGAGTGAAGGCCGCCGATCGGATCTCACGTGAAACGGAGTTGACTCGGACACTCCGTCGGGGAATTGAGTATTTGTACCACCGGGACTAGTAACCGACCCCAGAAGAACCTGTGGGAGAGGAGAAACGTGAGCCGTCATTGTTGTGCACAAGAACAATGCCAATCAACAGGCTGCATTCTTTGTGGTTGTGTAAGGAGGAAGCAGGTTTTGAGGTGATGGGCAGGGCCAAGATCCTTCTCAGTATGTGTAGTGTAGAGGAGGCGGAGGAACTGTGTCTCTTCCAAACGGGTAGTGGCGGAAGACGGAAGGGAAGTATGGAGAGAGGGATGGAAGGAGAGGAGGAACAAGAGGAAGGACAGGATGCACAGTGAAGTAAGAATTGGAAGAGGTTGAAGAAGAATGTAGCAGGAGGTGAAAAGGTTGAAAAAAGAAAGAAGTGAGCACGTTTTGACTCTGGACAAAAAAAAAAGGGACTTACTCTTTAAAAAGAGAGGGATAAAAAAGGTAATATACTAGTCAAATCCCAGCAACAGCAGTGAAGATTATAGGATAGGGAAAATTAGAATTAGTCGCAGAGCCAGTGTTTGACGCACAGGGCCAATGCACGTAGTCGTGCGACCAGTGGATATTGGGGTCTTTTTTTGGCTTTTTTTTTCTGCCTCGCACTCGTCGAAAAAGAATAATAATCAATTCGTTTGGGGCGTTGTCTCCTTTCGGGGTTGGTGGTTGTTTGGTTTCTTTTCTAGGTTCGGGCGATGATCGACACGCCGGCAAGGAGCGATGTGTCTCTTTGCAAATCGTGGTTGGTACACGCACACCGCAGCCGCAATCAATAGTAGTGAATGGATCGGAGATTCGATAGCACGGATACGAAATCTTGGGGAGGTGGAACGTGGAGAGGGTGCGCGAAAAAAATAAAGGAAGTCCCCAAGAAGAAGAAAAGGTCAACCGCTTTCAGCAAGTGAAGACAGTCAGGACTCAGGACAAGGCCAGAAGCGCCGAGAATGATAATAATGCGGGGGTGCGACGGGGGATCGAGAGGACAGTGATCAGAAATAGTGCGATAGTGCAATAGTGGAATACTATAATATCGCCTCGTCGTCGTTGTCGTTCAGTCAGCAAAAGGATCAATGACAAAATCCGACAAGTCCAGAATGAGGCGGTGCGGGTAGCGTTCCTTGGGCACAAGATCCTTATTAAATAAATTTGACCAGGTAGACAGAGACAGACGGTACGTCCAGAAGAACGATGACGCGGAGGAGAAAAAAGCTGGTAGGCTCAAGTCCTATCCGGTGATCCGCATTACTAGACCTGAGACTTGCCTGAACTGGTTGGGAGGCTTTTTTTTCTCTCTCTCTCTCTTTACGTCTTGTTTAGTAGGTCTCCAACGGATACATCAGATTGAACCATGAATTCACTGTTCTTCATGCACTTCCGACATCTCCACGGCCAGAGAATTGGTACTATGTATCAATCAGCTGATGCGGGAGGCTGTAGTACTGTGGTGCACTGTACCTCCTCGTTTCCCCGGATCGACCTCGTATCTTACACTCTACCTTTTGGACAACAAATACGCTCCGTCGGGTTACGTGGTAAGATGGCAGACTGACTGATGGGATGCTTCATGTGAATGGGAAGAGAGGGGAAAGCCGAGTTTCGGGGGTTTCATCACGCATGAGACTCCTACAACATACTAGTGGGTGAGGGTCTCGAACCACATGCATGAAGAGGCAGTGACGTCTGACGCCCATCTGGTTCAGTGTCTAGAGACACTGACACTAATAGCTAGTCTAGTTACTCATAACTTAACTAAGGAACGGACTGACTGAGTGACTGACTAACTAACTAACTAGACTACTGGAGTCAATCTGATGCCCAGCTTACCTGGAAGTCTAGTCTAGCCCAGCAGTAGACTCGTAGACTCGACGGGTAGTCCGGCACAGCCTTCCACCCGGCCAGCACGGTCATCATAAGATGACCACTTAATGCTCGCTCTTTGACTTCATCATCAGAAAGAAGGCCAATCGCTGTTGTGCTGCTCCATAGTGGACAGGTAGATCCACATGTCCATACCATATACTTTTATGATTTGATGAGCGGCTGAGGATCTTTGGAAAAAAAGATGCTGCCTGACTGCCTGAAAGGGCTTGAGAGCGAAGAAAGAAGAAAGAGAAAAGCAGAAAGACAATGTGTCTGATTGTCAATGCGGGGGGATCCTTGGCTGGCAGGAGCAGGGCGGTGTGGTGATATCATCGGGTCGGGCGGAGGTGGGGAGAAGATCCCTCCCTCACTACGACGGAGAGTACGTGCACTTCTTGCCTTTCCACCTGCCCTGGCCTCCCCCTTCCCCCTCACTAGGCTCTCTGTTACTCCTCATCATCCTCCACCGCAATGCAATGGGCGCTCGTACAAGTGGAATGGGACACATGGGTGGGAAGATACCATTCCGTCGGGTTGTTTTTGGCCGTTACCGAAGATCGCTTCCGACTGAGGAGTTGATGAAGAAGTCTATTCGAAGATCCATGGTCTGATCCCCGGCAATACTTCCGCTCTCCGACTTTCGCGATAGCTGAACAACAGTGCCGTCGCCACCACCATTTCCCCTCCATCCCTCTGTCCAAGCCGAATCTACCGATCCGTGATTACCGGTGAATTGTGTATTCTCAGCACTATATCCCTGCATCTTTGAACGGATGGTCGGCTCTCGAGACGGCAAGAAATTTATCCCCACAAGTCCACACATGTCAATCACGGTAGAAATGACGGCACGAAGTCTGTCGTCTGTGGCTTGACATGCGCGTATAACCTTACATTATGCTATCGCCATCGACCCGGCAGACCCTATCCACCTACTTTCGTAAAAGAACTTCAACATGACAAGGTGCAATTCTTATCAACCGTCGCGTGGTTCAAGATGTGCTGTCCAGGGCAAGCACAATTCCTATAGGCCGATAGGTCATGACATCATCGCCGCCATCACCATCATCATCACCTTGTAACCCTGAGGTGACTGATATTGACTTCAATCGTCCCTGTGGGTGCGTGAATAGCCAGGTACGGCACTTGATACATTCTTGCGGAGACTACAGCTAGCAAAGGGATTCGATATCTCTTGTCAGAGTTTCTGCTTTGGGGAACGCCCGAACCATTGAAGTGATTGCCGAACGGAGAACCAGTTCGTGGCATTCCCCCGTAGTCTATTTAGGAACCAAGCATTAATTAGCTGCATACCAAGACCACCGAAAACGCAGCAGAGCCAATCCACCTTGGGCGTGGAGCATCGGGATGTCAAATTGGAACGGAGATTAGCTTTTGCGCCCACCTCTGACGTACCTTGCGTCATCGCGGAGTCAGTAGTGAAGACCGTCAGGTAGGTACCGGGCCCCCTTACAGGGTGGATCACTCTGCCTTGCCGATTGGCTGTTCGGCAGGAGATAGCAATGGACCTGACACTTCGAAGGGGTTTCAGCCGGGGTAATGAGTAAGAGTCTGCGACAGGAAAACCGACTCCGTTTGGCTTAGCTTATTACCCGAATTTGTAGGGGACGCTGCTATATAGAACTGCCTGTATTTCGTGATTCCAACGCACAGTGTCGTCACCCATAAATCGCATCCCGAGCCGTACGGCCACTGCCCAGGAGGTGATCATGTAAACCAGCTATCGTCAAGTTCGTTGATATCCACCAATCCGTCGCCTTCCAATAAATTCGGGTCCCCGGTCCCATCCCCTCCGAAGGTGTCATTCTCCATGAATAAATCGTCAAAGCTGGACTCTCCCGGTGCCATAACATCTTCGAGGTTTCCCCCTCCTTGACCGTCCAGCTGTTGTCCCGTCAGACTGCCAACTTGGGTGGAGAACGCCTCAGCTTTCTGCAATTCCAAGTCAAACGCATCTCCACCCGTAGGCACAGCAGTATTCATGCTATCAGTGCCCACTAGGCCAGCCGCGGTGTTGCCAGACGTAGCGTTGCCTTCATTGCCCGAACCGGTAGGAACCAGGTGGGAGCCGGCGAGAAAATCATCATTACCAACTGCGTCATCGCCAAAGTCAAGGTTCAGGTCGAAATCGTTGGGCCCGGGATTATTGTTGAGCATTGAGTCGAAGTTGAGTTCGTCCGGGCCGGTGAAAGGTTGTCCGGAGACGGTAGGGGCGGTAGCTCCGTTGTCGGTTTGGTCTTCCTTGACAGATTGATCAGTCGAGCCTTGTTTTACGACATCCTGCTCAATCTGCGGCTTCAACACAGGTTCAAATTCCGTGGGCTCGGCCTTTATTGTGTCTGCATTCGTGGCTACGACTGGGGTTTCCTGAGGCTGGGGGGCCGTTTCTGGCTCGGGCTTCACGACCGCATCCTCCATCGCGGAGTCCTGGGCAGAATGAAGTGCAGCTTTTCGCGCTTTGATTGCCTCATAGTCTCGCTCCAAGAACGCCTTGGCAATAAACTGCTCAGAGTCAGTCCCAACTCAGGCACCGAACAAGGTGACAATGGTTCTTACAATCTGCTCCGAGAGGCTGTCCAAAGCGGTCTGGAACTGCTCGTGAGCGACGGGGATTGAGCGTTTGAGCTGTGCCCTGTACTGCATCTTCTCGTGCGAGTTGAAGAACCGGGCCGTGTCAATGAGCTATGGGTTGTCAGAGGTCACTTGAACGAGAAACAAACGGACTCGGATGTACTACCGTCTGGTTCACCGTGGATGTTAACACATCCAGGGATTTGGGATTTGAAAAATCTGTCGCGGCCATGGTTACGCTGCTGCTGCGACCTGATCGTACTAACAAGAAAGCTGCTGGCAATAGACCGCGCTGATTTGCTGATGTGCCGGGGTCAGTTGGGGATGTGTGATGGGCCACGATAGAACACGATCTGAAACCACTACGAGATGTGATTCAGCCGGGGACTTTTAGCGATGCCGTGAGGGATTATACTCCCTGTACGGCGGGCCCGAGAGCCAATTGAATGAGGTGGACCGAGGTTCGCGTGGAAGTGACAGGGGAGGGGGAGGGAGGAGGAGTCAAGGGAGGAGACTAAGAATAGAAACCAAGAAAATCCAGAGGGGTAACTGCAGGTGACAGATAGTTTGGTATCTTCAGGTAGGCAAGTTAGAAGGGAACTGAGGAGTGGAGGAAGAAGCTAAGAATGATGATGGGCAAGTTAAGCGCCTACTAGGTAGTAAGTTCAGTAAGAGGTGGTAGTTAGCTTTGAAGAGGTTAGTTAGCCGGCTTGCGGTAAGTGAAGGACAAAAAAAGGCGAGAGCCCCGTCACAAGGGGACTAACGCGGTGAGGCTTAGCGCGCCCCTCACCCCAGTTCGGAGCGGCTCTACTTTACTTACCTTACTACGGAGTAGGTACCTTCAATACAGCCAGACTCAAGCCAGTTGACTTCGGGTTACCTTAAGGTACTTCGCTACTGACTGACTGACTGACTGTACGTCCTGTATTCCGTACCGTGGTCGACTCCCAGGACAGACCACCAACTGGACCACTGAGCTGCCAATTGAACCCCATCCCATCCACCGTGGATTATTCAATCATCCAAACACTCTCCTCGTTTTGTTCTCCATCCAAACTTCCCCGTCAGCTCAGATCCATCCATCGCAGCTTTCCCTCTGCTTTTCCCCTGTCTGTTTTATTCGCCTTCTGTCTCTCTTCTTCCTCTCTTCTATTTTCCTTCTTCCTCTTCATCATCCACTTTCTTCTCTGTTCCACCTGTCATTGCTGCCTCTCTTCCCTTTTGTCTCAGTGTTTCTTTTCTTTTCCCTTTTTTTTTTCCTATTTTATTTCTGCCTTCTTCCAGCTGTCAGCTTTTCCCTCCTCCTCCTTTCCATTCCTCATTCCCCGTCAGCTGTCATTCGGGAGCTTAAAGCTGTTTCCACCACCACTTTTGACGGATTCACTGACTGGTCGGGGTCGTGGTTGAGAAAACCATCTCCGGTCTCATTTATTTGCTTTTCAGCACCGTCTAGTCCATCACGACACCTCTCATCTTCATTTCACTCGCACTGCAATCGTCCGATTCATCATCAGTTGCTCGTACTTTGTGCTTGTCTTTGGATGATCTAGTTTAGCGCCTTGTCCGTCCTCGTTTACCACCACTCTGTCCTGGACCTTTTCGATCAACACTCACCAACAACCACCCTCAAAACCCCCCCCCGCGTCTGCTGCCGCCTTCGCCTACTTTAATTCTGACTGCGTAACGCCCTGCATCGTCCCGTCACCGAGAAATTGCATATCCATTCTCCGTGATTCCGTCAAACGCTTTTTCATCGACTGTTCCGTCTTGCAGCTCTACATTTGTTTGTTCCGTGATCCTCTATCGTCCCATCTCGTGACTCTCCCCCTCCCTCCCCCCCGTCAACAATGGCCGACAACGTCTCCGCTGCGACCGCTACCACCCTCCCCCCTCCTCCCCAATCTTCTACGGTTGCCTCCAACCAGCAGTACGATGCATCCCAGGGCAACGGCCAAGCCAATCCCTCCCACATGCCACCACCTCCCCGCCCGCCCGTGGTGATCCCACAAAACACCAATCCGATTCCGACCGCCATCACATCGCCCATGTCCGGCAATATGATGTCCCCGACCAGCGCTGGTGGCTTCGTGCGTCGGGCGGCCCCTGAGCCAAACAAGAGGGCCCTTTATGTCGGTGGCCTCGATCCCCGAGTGACTGAGGATATCCTGAAACAAATCTTTGAGACTACCGGTCATGTTGTTAGCGTCAAGATCATCCCCGACAAGAACGTAGGTTTTTTCCCCCTCACTGGCCTCTGGCATTCTTAATGCCCCACTATTTTATTGAAGCACGCTCATCCTCCCTACTGACAGTCACAGAAGTTCAACAGCAAAGGTTACAACTACGGCTTTGTCGAGTTTGATGATCCCGGTGCTGCTGAGAGAGCGATGCAGACGCTCAATGGGCGCCGTATCCATCAGTCGGTATGTACATTTGGGCTTATTTGGTGTTTGTTCGACAGGTACTGAATTATTGCTTGTCTCTCTTTTACAGGAAATCCGTGTCAACTGGGCCTACCAATCCAACAATACGAACAAGGAGGACACCTCGGGCCATTTCCACATCTTCGTTGGTGATCTGAGTAATGAAGTAAACGACGAGGTGTTGACGCAAGCCTTCTCTGCCTTCGGCTCCGTGTCTGAGGCTCGTGTCATGTGGGATATGAAAACTGGTCGCTCCCGAGGATATGGTTTTGTTGCATTCCGTGACCGTTCTGATGCCGACAAGGCTTTGAACTCCATGGATGGGGAATGGCTGGGCTCGCGTGCAATCCGTTGTAATTGGGCCAACCAGAAGGGCCAACCTTCGATCTCTCAGCAACAAGCCATGGCCGCAATGGGCATGACACCCGCTACGCAGTATGGCCATCACAACTTCCCTACCCACGGCATCCAGAGCTACGACATGGTCGTCTCACAAACCCCGCAGTGGCAGACCACGTGCTACGTGGGCAACTTGACCCCTTACACCACGCAGAACGACCTGGTGCCACTCTTCCAGAACTTTGGCTACGTGCTCGAGACTCGTCTGCAGGCGGACCGTGGATTTGCCTTCATCAAGATGGACTCGCATGAGAATGCGGCCATGGCCATCTGTCAGCTCAATGGTTACAACGTCAATGGACGCCCTCTGAAGTGCAGCGTATGTCCTTCTCGCTCCCCGTGTCTTAGTCCCGATGCTAATTGACCATATAGTGGGGCAAGGATCGTCCTCCTACTGGCCAGTTCGACAATTTCTCTGGCCAGCAGGCCAGCTCACCTTTCAACTCTAGTCCCACTCCGTACTTTCCTCAGTACGGCGGTCCTGGGGGACCCATGACCCCTCAAGGTAGCTCGTTTGCGCCCTAGTGTGGGGTTTCCCGCTAACTCTCTGGCTCCAGGCCCCAACCCAGCCGGTAGAGGATGGGACCAATCCGGAATGGGTGGTCAAGGCTACGGCCAAGTTCCTGGCAACGCAGGATACGGCCGCGGCCAAGGTGCCCCAGCCTCTGGATGGAACCAGCCAAACAATGCCAATTTCGGCAATGGCTTCGGTGGCTATCAAGCGTAGCCTGTTCTCGATATATGCTGCCGCAAGCACTGGTAGTCGGCGGTCTGTACCGGCAAAAGCGTTAAGCATCAGCCCCTTCCTCTCCTTCTTCCTTTCTCCCTAATACTTTACATTTCAACTGTCTCTGTCTTTCCATCATTTTCAACACTGCTTTTCTTTTTCTCTCTTCTCTTCTTTTCTTTCTTTTCTTCATGGCTGCCCCTTACAAGGTGGATTTTTAAAGCGCATCTCCCATTCTCCATTCTTCCTTTTGAAATGAAATTTGTGTGTTATCGTACACCCAATACCCCAAATCCGCTTTGTTGACTCAAGTTTCCATATGCTGTCTTCTTTGAACGAATGCGCGCAACTTTGATCAAAGGCTAAGCTTCTTGGGCTTCTCACTTAAGCGTTCTGCGGACTAAACTAAAAGTACTGACCATTCTCATTCTATTCCTGACATTTTCTCTTTGGTCGAGTATTGAATAAATAGCTCGCTGGTGTCGTACGATTAGTATGTATAAGCACAGCCTGTTGAGGATCGACGTCCTTTGCTTTCAGGCTGTGTGAATCATGGCTTTCTGCTTTCTTCTTTTATTTGTCCACGGGAAGCTAGGGCTTTCCCTGCGATTCTGAGACTCGCTGTTTGAGCATCGTTGTTGATTTAATTAACACCGGGTTTCTTCTTTTCTGTTTGCCGGTTTGTACTCGTCTGGCCGGGTTGGTTGGCACAGTCTTCCCAGTTTGTGATACCATTGTCTGTTCAGGTGACTTTCTTCCAGTCCTAATTCCAACTTCGGGCTCTTGGTGTCCTGAGAACGTGCCCACATGATTTCCCAGTTTTCATGCTGATGTTGCTGGGATTTGTTTCTTATTCCTGATTTTGCTGGAGTGATGGTTGGATTTGCCCGTAGTTTATGCCATTGTAGATGTCTGCATTGTATGGTGATTTTAGAGTTCATTCCGAGCGTCTTGTGGACAGGCAAGCCTCTGCCTATATTTATCTGGGCTTCGTGTTTACCATGAGTTGCTGAAGTATTAGTTATAGTAGGTAACTTAGTAGTCTGTAAACTGTAAGATGTTGATGCTACCTAGTAAAATAGAACAAACCAGGCGGGCTGCGGGGAGGAAGAAGACCGACTGGGGCGGCAGCTGCTAACCTTGAAGGTACCGTACCGTACCGGACCTCATCCGCCCACCGCCGCCTGCCTGGACCCTTTTCTTCTTGGCCGATCGATCGATGCCTTGCGGCCCCCTCTTCCTCAGTCTCTTCGTCTTCTATTTCCTCTTTCTCCTTCCTTTCGTACCCTGCCAACGCTTGCACCACAGCTGATGAAAATCCTCGCCGACTCTTCTACCGGGACACTGGATGTGGGCATGCTAAAGATTGGTTAGTCGCGCCTAGTCTGCGCCAATGGAAGATGCAGCAGGCAATAGCAGCGGTGCGGCACTCTCGCTGGACGACAATGACCGGCGCGCCGGGCGCATGCGCTCAGGAAGCGCAAGCAGCGGCCATAAGCGCAGCACTTCAGGCTCCTTACTGTCCCGATTGTCCTTCCTACGAATGATCCAGGCGACACAGAACACGGCCGAGCGAAGCCATTCAGGCCTCGAGCGCGATGACGGCGACGAACTCACCTCCGGCTTACGGGGCGGGCGGGCCATGTCCAATGCGATCCAGCAACATCGGAGGACGCGTCGGAGACGCGGCTCGCTACGCAAGACGGCCCTCTTGGGCACCCGGCTCGACTATCGAGACAAGAAGACTGCAAGGGTGCCGGCCGATGTACTGCGAGGGGACAGCAGTGGGAGCGGCGAACCCCGACCGGGACCGACCCCCTTACCCTCCTCCCCTTCCTCATCCTCTTCCACCAACCCACGAATGCGATATCTAGCCGACCCCGTGTCGCGCGCAGACGATGAAAACACCCCGCTCAGGAACCTCGGCTCCCAACCCGGGGATGAGACGGATACCGCATGGATGCTGATGGATGCACCGCAACGCGCCCGGGCGGCCGCGCCGGCGGCGGCGGCGACGACAACAACGACGCATCGCCAGTCCAGCCCAACGAAAAACAGTCTCCTTGGAGTCGGCGATGAGATGATGACGACGGACGACGAAGAGATCATCTCCTTCCCGCGGGCCAGCAGTACCAGTACCGCCTTGCATTCGTCCTCCACCACCGGCGGCGCGACGGGCCTGCGCCTGCCCTCCGCCTCGTCGGCTTCCGAGTCCTACTACACTCTGCAGACGGATCCGACGTACCGGGCTCTGCACCGGGCCAAGTCGCCGCTGGCCACGCACGCGGTGGATATGGCTGCCAGCTCGCAGATGGTGTGGGACTACTCGGAGACGGAGTGGTGGGGGTGGATCATCCTGATCGTGACGTGGCTGGTGTTCGTTGTGGGGATGGGGAGCTGCTTTGGGGTCTGGAGCTGGGCGTGGGATGTCGGGGAGACGCCGTACGCGCCCCCGGAGCTGGAGGATGATCCCACCCTGCCGATCGTCGGGTATTATCCGGCGTTGATCATCTTGACCGCGGTCATGTCGTGGGTGTGGGTGGTGGTCGCTTGGGTGGGGATGAAGTACTTCAAGCATGCGAACATCTCTGGGGAGGACATTTGATGGTATTTCTTGCGATCCGGTTTCTTCGTGGGTCTTTGGTAGTCTTTGGTTCATACGTGAGCCGCTTTTTTGGGCATGTACTGTATATACATAGTTTAATTGTCGATGGTCCCGTCCCAGCATAGCCACTTTATTATATCACAACAGTTTTGGACGAAACTGTAGCCTCATTAATAGACAGTGTCATCATTGCAGATATATAAGATGGGTCTACAATTCATCTAATCTGATTGATTAGGATCCCCGAAAAAAAAAAGAAATCAATCCCCAAAGAAATACCAATTCACCAACTCCGACACCCCAAAAATGACTCCCACTCTCTCGCACGTCTTACCCCCGGCTCAACCTCCTCGGTAAAAGTCGAAAGTCCACCCGCAAAACCCAAACCCTGCCGTTTCAATGCGACACGGCGCACTGGTTCGCAGGCGTCATATCGAAGGCCGGCGCCTTGGCGTCGTTCTGTGGTTGCACAGTGGTGCCCGGCGCGGTGCTCACCAGGCCCTTGGAGACGGCAAAGCAGGAGGAGCGATCCTGGTTGGAGTCCTCGACGTAGAACTCGTCCATGATGGGGTGCAGCATGACGGTCTGCTTGTGGATGGTGACGATGGAGTTGGCGGGCACGGAGACCCAGTTATCTAGACGGACGTCAGCATCGCAGATCAGTATTCGCCCAACCACCCATCCTCATCTCATCCTTCGGATGGGCAAAAAAAAACAAAAAAAAAAAGAAAAGAAAAGAAAAACATACGCCTCTCAAAAGTAATCGGCTCACTGGCGACGAGCACAATATCGGCGCCCTTATCATGGCGCTCCATCTTAAAATGGCCCTGGCCCTTCCCCTCGGTCCACTTGGTGCCGGACGAGAAATACAGACTGGCCGGCTCATCCGTCTTACTGCTGATGTACCGCGTACAGATGACGGTGTGGCCATCGGTGACGGCGAAGTTCAGCAGACTGCGCGTCTCCACCGCCCCGACGGCGCCGCCATGCCGCCGCGGGATATCCTTGATGAAGGCGTTGATCTGCGCGATCGTCTTGACCATCACGCGGCGCAGCAGCGCGGGGCCGAACCCCTCCGGGCCCGGGTCGGCGCTGGGGTCGACGCCCTCCTTGGCCAGAAGGTCGAGAAACAGCGCGAACGCCCACTCGCTGTCCGTCCCGCCCTTCACCCCCAGGTACCACTTGTCGGCCAGCGAGTCGGCCAGCGCCCGCTTGATGTACTGCCACCCGCCCACGTTGCCGTTGTGCATCCACATCAGCGTCCGGTGCTGGAACGGGTGGCAGTTCGTGTCGGAGAGCGTCCCCTCCGTCGTGGCCCGCACGTGCGCGAAGATGAGGTTCGAGCAGGTCTTCGACGCCAGCCGCTCCAGGTTCTCGCAGTTCCAGGCGGGCAGCGTCGAGGTGAAGATGCACGGGTCCGGCCCGAGTTTCGGGTCCGTGTAGAACCCCACTCCGAAGCCGTCGCCATTCACCGGGCGACGGGTGTCCTGGTTCTTGGTTAGAGGGGGGTAGTGGTTGGAGGGGAGGAGGGGGAGGAGGGGGGTGGGAACGGAGGGGGCAGAGGGGAGGGGGCAAGCAGGAGTGAGGGAGCCCTCTTGCTTGATGAGCTTTCTTTGCTTGAACAACGGAAAGCAAGCAGACGTACCAGTCTGAGACGCGAATCGTACGACTGGGTCAAGATGGAGTGACTGGGTTCGGTGACCAGCTTGCTGAGACGAATCTCATGTCGTCCTTTGTATACCTGATGGGGAAGCGGTCAGTATGCTGCGACAGACATGGGAGGCAAACAGCTCTAAACTTAGACTTACTAGAAAGCGACACATTTTGTAATTGTATCAACGTGCAGTACACAATAAAGTAAAGACTCCCAGCGTCCCTACTGCCGTGCAAGATCCCAAAGTGATGTTAGCGTTGGGAGGTAAAGTCGGTCTGGGCCCGACAGACAGCGTGCAGAGTCACAAGTCACAGCTTTGATTGATCCGACAACGGAGTCGTTTCTTCTAGCCCAAGGCACGCCCGCACAACTGGGATTTACCCCTTTATTTGTATTTGCGACAAAAAAGAAAAAGCTCAGACTCGTCTGGCTTAAGGTTACTTCAAATCTAGACCGACAACCTGTCCAGATGACGAATTTCGATCCGATTATTTGGTTATTGTCGAGTGGAATGCTTGCTAAACTACACGTGACTCACACCGTAATTTATACGGCGGGCGAAGCGGCCAGCAGTGCAGTGCAGGTCACGGGATCAGGACTGGCTCGGAGGGGATTCGCCGCCGCGGGACAATCATTGCTGGATGACATGATCTCCTCCTTCCCTTCCCAGAGCTTCTCTTTCTTCCCCTTCTAGCTGTTTCTCTCTCATCTTTTTTGTGTCTGTTGCACACTCTCGCCACTATCCGACGAAATAAAACTCAACAACCCCGTTGCTACCACACCCCTCCGGGATATGAACCACATCTACTGAAACTCGCGTCCGACAAATCCAAAGCGTATATGATATTTCGGCCATCATGAGCGGGAGGATCCTCTCCCACCGTCTGGTTCCGCTCCTGCGGACGGGTCATCTGGCCCGCCATGTACACAACGCTGCTGCCCGCACCGGCGGCCTCCTTCGTTCCGATGGCAGCGCGGCCTTACGGCGACGGCCCTGGCCTGTCGGTGCCAATGCCATCCACAATGTGCCTGCTGTGCGGGCCATCTCCTTCCACCGCATCCTCCCCAAGCTGGCCCTGAAGCTCGTCCGTCTGCCGGCTATGTTTGGCGGAGCCGTGCTGGCGGGCGCTGCTTACATTCAGTATCAAGCTGCGCGTGAGTTGTTTTCTACCCTGGTTACTTGTTGGTGGCTGACTGACGTGCTGTGGGTTTGCTCTAGAGGCGGGAAGCTATGCTATCGATATCTTCAAACGGGCGGGCGAAACGGCGGGCGGTGCGGCCTCGAGTTTATTTCAGGAGATTCAGAACATGGCGGAGCAGACGCAGCGCGGGTGGCAGAAGACGACGGAGGATGTTGACTTGCCGGAATGGTTGCAGAAGATTTTGCGGTTGAACGAGGACGCGCAGTCGGACAATGGGGGCTCAGGGGGTGGTGGGGATGGAAAAGGTCCGAAGGAGAGCCGGGTCGGCGCGGCCGCCGCTGGAGCGACTACCGCCGGTGCGCTGGGGTACGATCAGTTGGACGAGGAGGATCTCCGCGCGGGCCGGCAGATTGCGGAGGACGACCAGATGATGCTGCTCACGCGGAAAATGATCGAGATCCGGAACATCCTGCAGAGCGTTGGCCAGTCGAACACCCTCACGCTGCCCTCGATCGTTGTCATTGGTTCGCAGTCATCGGGGAAGAGCTCGGTTTTGGAGGCGATCGTCGGGCATGAGTTCCTTCCCAAGGGGTCGAACATGGTCACCCGCCGGCCGATTGAGCTCACCCTCGTCAACACCCCGAACGCGCAGGCAGAGTATGGCGAGTTCCCCGCGCTGGGACTCGGCAAGATCACCGACTTTTCGCAGATCCAGCGCACCTTGACGGACTTGAATCTGGCGGTGCCGGAGAGGGACTGTGTTTCGGACGATCCCATTCAGCTCACCATCTACTCGCCGCATGTGCCTGACCTTTCGCTCATCGATCTGCCTGGCTATATCCAGGTCGCTGGGCGGGACCAACCGCCTCAGCTGAAACAGAAGATCTCGGACCTCTGTGATAAATACATTCAGCCACCGAACGTTATTTTGGCCATCTCGGCGGCAGATGTCGATCTCGCCAACTCCACTGCTCTCCGAGCCAGCCGTCGGGTGGATCCCAGGGGCGAGCGGACAATTGGTGTCATTACGAAGATGGACCTGGTGGATCCTGACAGGGGCCACAGCATTCTATCCGACACGAAATACCCTCTCCGCCTGGGCTATGTTGGCGTGGTCAGCCGAATCCCTCAGACGACGGCTCTCTTCTCCCGGGGCAGCGGCAACATCACGGGCGCCATTCTGAAGAACGAGAACGCCTACTTCTCTCAGCACCAGTCCGAATTCGGACCGCAGTCGGACGTGTCGGTCGGGGTCAATACATTGCGCAACAAGCTTATGCATGTCCTTGAGCAGACGATGGCATCGAGCCTAGCAGGTACTAGGGATGCTATCAGTCAAGAGCTGGAGGAAGCCACTTACGAGTTCAAGGTGCAATACAACGATCGTCCCCTCAGCGCGGAATCCTACCTGGCCGAGAGCCTGGACAGCTTCAAGCACTCCTTTAAGGCGTTTGCGGAAAGCTTTGGTCGCCCTCAGGTCCGCGAGATGCTGAAGCGCGAACTTGACCAGCGCGTGATGGATATTCTGGCGCAGAGATACTGGAATAAGCCCATCGAAGATCTCACGGCGCCAATGCCGGAGTTGGATCCTCTTAGCGATTTGCCCAAGGCGGATCCCGAGTCTCTCTACTGGCATCGCAAGCTTGATGCCTCAACCTCTTCCTTGACTAAGCTCGGAATCGGTAGACTTGCTACGACAGTTGTCGCCAATGCAATCCAAAACCATGTTGACCGGTTGTTGACCGACTCGACCTTTGCGAGCCACCCATACGCCCAGAAGCAGATTGTGGATGCCTGCAACAGCATTTTGAATGATCGTTTCTTCAGCACCAGCGACCAGGTCGAGAACTGCATCAAACCTTACAAATACGAAATCGAGGTCGAGGATCCTGAATGGTCCAAGGGCCGGGAGAACGTCAGCAAGGTTCTCAAGGACGAGCTAAAGGCATGCGAGTCCGCCTTCAAGCACGTGGAAGATTCTGTCGGAAGACGGAAACTCAAGGATGTTATGTCGTTTGTTGACAAGGTCAGAAAGGGTGAGGTGGTGTTGGAGGGTGACGGCGCGGGCGGTGCTGGTGGCTTTAGTGCCGACCTATTAGCCAGAGGTATGCTCCCCCTTTTCCTTACATTATGCGTAAATGAGGCTAACGAATGTATCAGGTCGTGAAAGTGTCTTCCTCCGCGACCGCGCCGACATTATCAAGATGCGCCTCCTCGCCGTCCGCTCCAAGCAATGTGCCTCCCAGAAGAACAAATACTACTGCCCGGAGGTCTTCCTGGATGTCGTCGCCGACAAGCTCACGTCGACCGCCGTGCTCTTCCTCAACGTCGAACTCCTCTCCGAATTCTACTACAACTTCCCCCGCGAGCTCGACATGCGCCTCGGCCGCCACCTCTCCGACGCGGAGGTCGAGCGCTTCGCCCGCGAGGACCCGCGCATCCGCAGTCACCTCGACGTCATCCGCCGGAAGGAGCTCCTCGAACTGGCGCTGCAGAAGATCGAGAGCATCCGGCAGCTCGACGGCCGCGGCAAGCGCGGCAACACGGATCGTCCGGTGGGTGCTCGGGAACCGAGAAGTCGTGGCTGGAACCTGTTCTAAACGTTTTTCGTCTCCCCCGTTATAATCCAACTAGACTTCCTTCTTGTGATATCCGTGTCCTCCTCTCCATATTTGCGGCGTTCTCGCATATTCCCTCCCTCTCCTTCGATGTACTTTTCTTTTGTGGCCGTGGTATGGCTGGTAGGAATAGGATTTATGTATAAATCCGTGGATTCCCATTCCTCGTGGGTCTGTTCTAGTTCCTGCTAGGCTTTTTCTGCCGTTTTATGAATATACGTAGACTTATGCTTCTGACTATAGGTCTTGGGATTGAACTACTCTTTAAGTGTGCTCAGTAAATTCAACTCTTCTCCTATCCTCATATGAGAGTTGATAGAATATAGAATACCGTTGGTACGTAGATGCCAAAGCTTTAGCGCCGGGTCCACCTTAACCAGAACAATCTCCCCATCGCGACCCCGCTTGCTTTCAACATCTTTGGCGAACAAATCTGAAGAATCCCTCCCAACATGAAAATATCTTGTAGCAAGGGTGAAATCTGGTAGATATTTGTACGAGTGCTTACTTTACATTGTACTGTACACCATCTTGGTAGCAGACTTGAACCTATACTACAGCTTCATTGGAATCACGCTGAGCCGGCACGCTTTGAGCATTGAACTAATATGTAATTCCAGTTTAGGTTAGTTAGTTAGTCCTCCAGTGATTAAGCACTCATCCCTTCGTCACATGTTTGGTCACTGTGCCAGTGTGCCTTAACTACCTACCGTACCCATCCAGAGCTTGACTGGCACTACTTTTCCACTTGTCTAACTGTGGTCACAGTGGCCACTCCCGTATACACAACAAGAGTCCAGGAACAAAATGGCTGGAATTCTGTGCCCCTATGTTGATGTAAGGATAGGGAACTTCTCAATATCTCTGTGGTATTGTACCTACTAACAACTTTCTCACAGCCAGCGAGAGGCGCTGCAGATGGGAAATTTCCACTGGACGATGTCGATCTCCATTCCATCTCCGATGAATCTCTGGCTGAAATACTCTACACCGCACCAGCTCTACACGATTTCGGTCAAACAACTGTGGCACGGCTCTCCAAATCCCTTGTTCTAAAAGGCGGTGGGAATGTCCTCCCTTCAGAGGCCGCAACGCTACGGATGATTGCCTCCAAGACTGGCATTCGAGCTCCACGCGTCCATCGCTCGTTCCAGGTCCAGGACGATACCAAGTACTTCGGCACCATGGGTTATGTTGTAATGGATTACATAGATGGTCGACCTCTGGATACCTGCTGGGAAGACCTTGGTGATGACCAGAAGATGGACATCTCCAAGCAAGTCGCCGCGATGATCGCCGAAATGCAGCGGATCCAACTACCGGGGCCACCGGGGCCAATAGGCGGCGGGCCTTGTCGTGGTCGGTTCTTCACTCACTACAGCGCCGGTCCATTCGGGGATATCTCCGAATTCGAACGATGGTTCAACCGTAAGTTGGACATCTGCAAGAAGATCAAAAAGGCTCCCCAGGATATCCCTGGCTTCCAATTCACGGAGTTGGTCCTTGTCCATCAGGATGTCAGCCCGCGAAATCTTGCCTTGGACCCAGATGGGCAGGTATGGTTGCTGGACTGGGCAGATGCCGGAGCATATCCGCCAGCTTTCGAGACGGCGGCCCTGGCTTCCCAGCAGAGCTTTCCTGGATTTCATGCCATGGTGCTCTCGCATCTGCCGCGGTACCCCGTAGAGGAGAGGCAGTTAGAATCCATTGAGTATGGGTTATTGACAGCGGTACTGGCTTGAAGGGTACATACATACATACTTCGTCTTACTGTATAGCCATGTGGGTCTCGTACTCAAAGGCCAAGCAGGCGGGGAAAGACGAAACCGGAAAGCAAGTTAAGAAGCTCGGGAGAAAAGAGCAAAAAGAGGAAAAGAAGGAGCGTCCAGGGAGAGGATCGAACTCTCAACCTCACGATTAACAGTCGTACGCGCTAACCAATTGCGCCACCCAGACGACTTCTGGTGGTGAGTTTTTTGAGCTTGGTTATCACCCATTATTGAAATGTGCATCTTTTCAGCAAGCATGAAGACTTGCTCAGAGCTAACTTCTGGTCAATCGCCTATAGGTTTATTTGACCTAGCATTGAGAATTACGACTGCTGGTTTTACGGACGGAATGGAATATAGGGCCATCTATACATGATAAATCTCGCTTTCTGTAAGTTGCAATTCACTTCCAGACATATACATCGGTCAAGATTTGCGTATCACCTCCACAACGTCCAGGGCAGTCCGCCCATCATGCTGGTTTCGCACAGCGCGGTGGGCCTTGAGGTTTTGGAGGTTGCGCTTCGCCCAGCGCTTGACCTCTGCATCGTCCATCGTATCCGCCTGTTCCAGGATCGGGCGCGTTTCGTTGGAGACGACCTGGGAGACCGTTTGCCAGTAGTTCCCGATGATCGTACTTTTTGTATGTCGCGCGAACTGCACGGTGATGATCGTGACGATGACGACGTGAGTCGCGATGAGCGTGGTGCCGATGATGAAGCCGGTCCATTGCGAGGGGATGGAAGAGGAGACGGAGAAGCCGGTAGACACGGTGGTGGTGCCGGCCATCTTGACCAGCTGCTCGTAGTAGGCCATCTGGAAGATCCGGGCCAGCACGACCTGCACGGCCAGGGCTGGGCTCGCCGTCGTGTTGAGCGTGTCCTGGAACATCTCGATGTGAGTGTTCTCGGCGCTCCCGCTGTAGAACCCCGTGCCGTCCTCGGCCAGCAGCACGCCCGGGCTGTAGGTGTAGTTGGTGGTAGACATCATCAAGGTCGGCAGGCTGACGTCCACGGCCAGGAAGAACGCCGGCAGGTCCGTGTCCCCCGAGGCCGAATCGTTGAGGGGCAGAACGGTGCCCCATTGGGACCGGGGCTCGAGGCTGAGCACCCCCCGACTGGCCAGGCTCTCGCGGGTACGCGATGCGCCTAGCTGGCGTCGTGCGGCTTCCGTGTTGTAGCTGTTGGTGGCCCGGTCCCAGCTGATCGTCGGCTCCGAGTTGTCCGAGGAGCTGTTCAGTCCCACGACGATCGTCTGGACAGCCACGTTGGTCAAGCAGGCGGAGGCCCGCAGCGTCCTCGTGTCGTTCCCATGGGTCACGATCGCCCAGGGCCCGTCGTTGCCTGCGACCCGCGCGGCGACATTCTGCAAGCCGGCGCGAACGACCGAGGCCACAGACACGATATCCAGGACCAGGTACATCACAGACGCAGTAGCATACCCACTTGGCTGGACGAGGGGGTCTTCCGTGGAGAAGACCGTCCAGTTGCGTTGCTGGGTGGCGATGCACATGCTGCTCTGTCCCACCGTGTCAATCGTCCACACGAGCGGGCTGGGCAGTTTGCAGGTGAAGTTCGCAGGCCCATAAGAGTCCTGGCCTAACGATAATGGGTAGGACAGGTTCTGCATGGGGATCTGTCCAGAGATGCGTATCTCGTCCTGGTCGGTCGCGTCGAGGCGCATGTTCACCAGAGGCGGCGCTGCACAGATCACCCGCTGATCCATGACGGGCGCAGGGCCCTGGTACCTACGCAGCTTCGTCCGTTGCTCCTCCCCCTCGAAGGGAAGGAGAGCCCGGTAGGTGTGTCCGGTGTCGTGGAAATTGGATCCCTCTTTGAACGGTTCCGACAGCTCGGCGAATGTCCAGCTTGCCGCGGGGCGCATCGTCCACCAGCCGCTGGCCGTATTGTATTCGGTGTCAAGGAGGCTGACATTTGTCGAGTTATTGCTCTGGGTGAACGTGCTGCTGGTAAAATCCGACAGGTAGATGGTGGAGAGGAACTGGGAGGCGGCGGTCACCAGCACCTCGGCGACGACGAGGGTCAAGATGAACGGTGGGAGATGAGGCCGAAGATCGGTCGCCGTGAACAGGCTGCTGGGGGCCGCCTTGACCGCGCGCAGGATGGAGTATAGTGGTCCCTGGAGGAGGGGGATCCCTTTTGTCTCCAGAACAACGCCCGCCACCATTGCGGTAGCGAGGCCTGCCTGGAAAGACACTACGGTCCGGATGGCAGTGGTGCATATTGTAATCAGTCGAGTCGCCCAGTCTGCATCTACGATGCGGAACCAGTAGACCTCGGGGTCTCCCCCGTTGATTGCCTTCATCGACTCCCACCAGAAGAGAACTAGAAATGTGACTGCGAGTAGAAGCACTGGCGGGCCGAGGAACAGTGTCAGGACGCCAGTGGTATCGACTTTCTGGCACAGGCTTCTTCTCTTGGCCTCGAGCTGTTTGCTCTGGGACTCCACGTCCGTCTTCGTACTGGGAGGCTTCGGGGCTTTTCGCGTGGGATGGAAACTTGTGTCACCGCGCGTGTATAGGCGCATGGCTGCATAAATCTTGATCTGGTCTGGATTTAGATCGAGACTGGAGTTTGAATCGAGACTGGCCACCCTGGTGACCTATCTATGTTGGAGTGAGCGGGGTTGTGATTGCTGCGGCGGTGATTGCTTGTTGCTGTCGCTCGACCAACCCTGGTGTCCATGTATAGCAGAAATTGGGCAACGACAAAAAGTTTCCATGATAGACACACTCTATATAACTCACCGGGAAGATAATAGTCTTCCGATGGCGCAACTGTGGGGAGAAGAGGGGGTAGAGTTAATCGTTCATCGATTAAGCGCCGGCTGTGCCAACTTGCCAAGGACTACTAGTCTAGCGTAAATCGTTGATTGTTCCAACCTGTCAGATTTAAGCCTTAAACATGTTGCCGGTCTAGTCTACTTCGATAAGCGCGCTGGGTTCTATTTTGGTCTGGCAGGGTTCGGATACGCTTACTGTATTGTGGGACTCGGGCCTGTCTCTGATGCCAGATCTAAAGCTTGACCTCTGCTGTCCTGCCCGTAGGGCTCGTTCCTAGGACTTACAAGAATGGCCCTGTTGTATTGGCCTTTTCCAAAAGTTTAGGTGCAATCTATGGAATCAGAAGATGGCGTTGGGTGTTGAAAGGCCCAAGGCTTATGTGTAGGTCGGGGACAGAGGGAAGTCAGAGCGCCCATTACAAGCTCGAGACTACAGACAGCGCACGGCCCCCGCAGTGGCTTCGATACTGCATGGCCATAGGTACAATGCTTTTGGTAATTCGTCGTCTTGGATAGGGCGTGTTTTGATCTCGTGTGGAAATGCAGAGTGTCAATCTCAACGCATGGCTTATGGTGTGTGGTTACAAGTTAGGGCCTAGTGGATCACCCGGACCACGTTGACAGAGCACTCCGCAGTCTACCCGAAAGAAGCTTGATTAGCACGACTTCGTGCAGCTCATAGCACTCGGTATGTAGGCATATATTGGTTTAGCGAACTAATGAACTGATGTGAGTCTTTGACTAGCTGTGGGACTGTTTTGGAGGCGAAATGGTTAGACTGATTGTATACCCGGGCTCCGTAGTCGCTGATACATCAACGCATCCGGGAAGACCTATGTGCGATGCTTCTGGGTGGTCTTTTTTTCCATCTTCTCGAACCTCCGTCAAAAGTTGTGGCGTTGTATATGGCACACTTAGATGTCATTCTGGTAAGGGACGCATAACTAGTCACCCCTATATATTTCCCGACCACACATGAGACTAGCCAGAACACACATTGAGACAAAGTGTGCTATACATGCCCACGGTACTACAAACTTCAAACATCTATATTATCAAAGCAAAGATGATCACTAGACCTTGGTGTAGTCTGTCAAATCGGAGCTGAATTTGCGTATCCAAATGTGGAAGTCACCGACATAATCTTCGTTCTGTTTTACCGTGCCATATAGATGTAAACCTTTTGCCGGCAGCAAAACAAGTACGTCTTGGTGGCGCAATTGGTTAGCGCGTACGACTGTTAATCGTGAGGTTGAGAGTTCGATCCTCTCCTAGGACGTCATCTTCTCTTTTTGGTATTTTTAGAGCCATCATATGGGGATTGTGGACCAGGGTCAGTGGCTGGATGGCCGGCGGCATGTGGGGTCGGGAGTGGAGCTGCCGCCTGCGAGCAACAGGGTCGAACGATGATGGTCATATAGATTAGCTGTATATCCTGACATTGATAAATGCAAGTATTTATTCGAAACGAACTCTTCAACATGTCATATGTGGATGGATTTGCCATCAGTATTTCGATGTCACCATACTCCATAGACGCTGATAGGCTTAATTGTGCGATGCTGACTGGACAGGGAGTCCATTGCCGAGGTAGATATGGCTGAACACAAAGGGATAGTCCGTCGACACATCTTCAAACCTGTGCACAATAGATGGCCATTTTCTCCCATGTTGATAAAGATACAGTAACGGGGAGTATCCAGGCTGCAAATCCTCTGCATTCCGAAAACAAATCACATGATGGCGTCGATTGACAACACATATCGGGGAGCTAAGAATCAGAATCTCAAGACCTACAAAGACTTCATCGGCAAAACAAAATCATCCGTATGATCCGTCTAACTCATCAGAATAAAGCTCCTTTTGTTGGTGCCGCTACTCGATTACGACGAACTCAATGAATGAAGTAGGATTCCCAATTAAACGAGACGCACTCATTTCTCGCCTATTATAAGCCGCCACCCAATAGCAGAGTATTCTACCCAGAGAAGCACTGTGGTCCATTGAATGACGTCAAAATAATGTGGCAGAATGTTGATATTGTAGTCGAGAACTTCGTTGATCGTGGTTCGATCTTTCCCGGCAATCTGATATGGACTAGGTTTGATGAACCATGGAAGCTGTTAAAAGTGGCGCCTAGTGCATCATTGTTATCATACATACTTAAAGTGACATCATGATAAGAAGCACGTCTGGGTGGCGCAATTGGTTAGCGCGTACGACTGTTAATCGTGAGGTTGAGAGTTCGATCCTCTCCCTGGACGCTCCTTCTTTTTGATTTTCGTTTGTTTGCATCCCATCTCATCTACCGCCCAACCAATGCCCCTCAAATCCATGAAAATCTATTTCTCTTGCTATGAACCCCTCTTTTTATTTTCCCTATCAACCAGTAGGGTATCAATTCGGTGTTTGAGGTCTCCCAAATGTACGTTAGATATTCCGCAAGAGTGCGCTGAGGGCATTGAACCTGGATCCCCTTCCAGTTTGCATGCCTCATGCAATTGGATCAATAATATATGGCAGTCAACCGCCAGTTACGCCTGAAATCCATTCCATGCTTTCCCCTTATCTAACCTGCCTACTCATCAGACAGGGAAGCAAGACCGTCTCCGGGAGGGGAGTGTAACGCTAGGTCAGGGCATGCACGAAGACCCGGAGGTTAGATAACCGCGAAACAAGGCTATTTAAGGTCTTCCAAGAATTGAAAATGGTCTTGTCTTACATGGGGCACTTACTGTAAAGCCAAATAACAAATCGGTCGTGACCATATATTCAGTACGTTAATTTCATGCCATTAGGCAATCTTCGACCGGAGGAGAAGAATTTCCTGCGCAAGAGTCTTGCAGATATACTACCACACCCGATGTGCGAGCCAACTTCGAAGCACAGCTACGTATGAAGTAGAATTATCCGGTGGAAAAGATAGTGACTGTGTGAGAAGGAACTGCATTTGACATGCATTGTTGGGGAGGAAGAGGTGTCTCACTAATCACATGCTACCTTGAGACTTCGTTGCTCAAATGAAAAGGTTTGAGTATATGGGGTATGGACGGCAAAGCCCTAACTGACCCAACCTGCGCTCAAACCAGTAGGCTAACACCAGTTGTTCTACACTTGTAGAAACTAGTTCATGACCGTAAGTTCTAACGGCTTCGTAGTGAGAGAACGGACATCGCAATCACTTGCGTAACCCCCCCCCCCCCCCCCCCCCCCCCCCCACCCCCCCCCCCCCCTCTCCGAGAAGCAAAATGTAAATCTCGGCTTCTCGCGGGTGAAACAATGGAGATCAATAGAGTCATAATGACCAGTCCTTAGAATCTTGAAAGGAAGACAGGAAGGCCAACCATCATTGCGTATCACCAATCACATACGCACTGAAGTCTCCCTACTAGATATCAAAACTCATGACTACGGCCTATGCACATGTGTTCCTCGACCTGAGGTGCCATATTCTAATGGTCGGAGTGACTACGAAGCATCAGCATCAGCGGAAGTGTGATTTAGGACAACTTCTATCATAGCAGAATGCGTTTATAAAACTAGGCGGCGGAGAAGTGTTAGCTACTCTTATCAGAGACTAGATAAGTGAGCTTGAGTAAGAGCCTCCTTTCAGAGGAGCATGGACCGATAAAGGATCTCGAAGAACACATGCCCTACGCAATGACGGACAAAACAGTGGGCAGAATACGTGTTTACAGATCCACTTTCCTACTGCATCGCGCATCTGCGCTGAATTCGTCTGCTTAGAAAACTGGAGCAAAAAAAAAAAAAAGAAAAAAGAAAAAGCTATACAGGACGCACTCGTTATGCCACAAAAGTATTGTCAATCGCGTACTAGCATATTGCTTGAAATGACTAGCCGACCGCTTCCTGAAGAGCGGCCTTCGTTTCTCAGCCGGCTTCATGACCTATCCAGGCAAATCCAGCAGCTTTCTCATTTCAGCCCTTAGCACAAGATACGCAGAGGCAGAGACTTACCTGGAACGAACAATGCAAGCTCTCATCAACACTCATCATGGCGCCCGAATTATCGAACTACCCACGATAATTGGGCGCATCGACCAGCGTCACGAACTGCGGCTTAGCGAAGAACCCATACCCGTATTCCACACACTGATGCGTGCGGCAGATCAGATCGATATTGTGCTTCTGAGTGAGCCGGCTGACGACATTGGGCCCGAACGTAAACGAGACACCGCGATCTATCTCACTCCAACCCGTGATGCCTTTATCTGGATCGGCCCAGAGGAGCTCGCACAGTGGACTGCAGTCGGGGATCCAAATTTTTAGATTTAGCGCCCAGAGCCCAAGGAAGGAGATATGAAGGGTTGTGTACATCCGTCGGCCGCATGATGTGACGAACCTGCTCAATCGAGTTCAGATTGGGCCTGAGACCGCCATGCGTGCCGAAGATCTTGTCGTCGACGATCGCCGCGATGGGCAGGCAGTTGAAGCACTCGATGAACGTCTTCCAGACCTTGACGCTGTACCGGCGCTTGCACTCGTCGTAGAAGTCGTAGAGGCGGTTGATGGATGCGCACTCGTGGTTCCCGCGCAGGATGAAGAAGTTCTCCGGGTATTTGATCTTGTAGGCGAGGAGCAGGCAGGTACATTCGATCGACTGCTTACCGCGGTTGATATAGCCCAGGAAGAGGTAGTTGGCTTCGGGTGGGTAGCCGCCCTATTTGAAGAGGCGGAGGAGGTCGTAGTACTGGCCATGGATGTCGCCGCATATCTGGTTGCGCTGTTGGTGCGGAAAGGTCGGGAGAAGGGGTTGGCGTGCCAGGGTTGTTATACCTTGATGGGGGTTCGAGCTCGAGTAGAATGGGTTGGGAGATGCAGACGTCGCGCGCGGTGCGGCAGATTTATGCGATCTCCGACTCGTGGATACCTGATAAGGTTTCCGGGTCGGGAGCCTCGAACCTCAAGTAATTTCTCTGTCAGAGAGTCTAGGTCTACGCCGTCTGGATTGACCATGATATGAACATCATATTGGAGTACTGCTCAAGTCTGGAGAGAGGTTAGTTAAGGGCCAGCGAGCATTGGAAAGGGAGTGAACTGAGGCGAGAAAGTCTTGAAGATAGATGGACGAACGTAAGATGGAAAGTGAATGCAAAAGATATCTTCTTCTAGTTGTTCTCTTTCTTCTTCTGTCTCTATTATACTCTTAGCACCCTTATCCATTATTCTGACGCCATGGTAATTAATTTTCAAATTAACGCTAGATATAGATCTCTTCCTAGATTAATACTGGCTTTACTTCTAATGAGGGCAATTCAACTTGGTTGGAAGGGCAAGTCGGACCTGAGGCTCGGAATTCCGAGCGGGTGTCGGAGTTCAGCTCCTGTCAACTCATTAGAGGTGGAGCAATTCCTTACTGCATGTCGCCACCTCCAACGTCACTGAATGCTTCTTATACTTACATGTGTGTATATATACACATGAGCTAGTGGTGTTAATTTTGCTAACCGAAAAAAACATGATACCCAATGATAAAAATGAGTCTAAGAGACCGCCTAAATCAGGGGAGGTCAACTAAGAGTCCATCAGGACTGTTGATGGATGTATTGAGGACTTGATAAAATGCAGATTATCGTCGCTAGATAATGTAGAGCATCTGTGCAGTCTGGTACGGTACTGCCATTTCTAAGTACAATCAAGCTTAGAATCCTTGGACTTCGTTGCCGCCGTCCCACTTCAGGCAAGGGGGATAGCACAGGATGACCGGTCGTAAGTCGTTCGAATTATCCATAATGGTCAATATAAGTGTGGGTATGACAACCACTGACCATCCCTGCAGGCATTCCCAGTGACCGTCTGCAGCAAAATCCACCGCCAATACCACGACCTGATCAAACTATTCCGAATAAGCGGACAATTTCCAGACACGAACTACCTCTTCATGGGTGAAATGCTAGACCCCGCATGGGAATGAGAAAATCCTCACTAAGACCACACCCTATGAGCAGTTAACTACATCGACCGCAGCTACCACTCCATAGAATCCGTCTCCCTCCTGGTCGCCCTCAAATTCGCTACCCCCAACGCATCACCATCCTCCGCGGAAACCACGAACCCCGCCAGATCACCCAGGCCTACGGGCTCTACGACAAATGCCTGCGTAAGTACGGCAACGCGCGGGTCTGAACCTCTTCACGGATCTGTTCGACCACCTGCCCCCAACGACTCTGATCGATAATCGCATATTCTGTCTTCATGGGGGCCTGAGTCCGTCGGTCGATACGCTGGATAATATCCGTGTGCTGGATTGCTTCCAGGAGCCACCGCATTAGGGCCCCATATGTGACCTTCTTTGGAGTGAATTTGATGAGAGATGTGCGTGCGGAGAATTTGCCGCGGGGCTGGGTACACCTTTGGGCTGAATATCTTGGAGGCGTTTAATCATCGGAAGGGCTTGCGCTGGCGGCGGGGGCGCAACCGATGGTGGTGGATGGGTATCTGTGGTCGCATGGGAGGGATATGGTTGCTATTTTCTCTGGTATAGTCTCATTGGAGCGACATGATGGATTGTTTGTGCTGACAAGTTCTGATATGGCTCCGAACTACTGCTACCGCTGTGGCAATCAGGCGGCCACTATGGAGATCGATGACTCTCTGAACTACCAATGGTATCTTAAAGGTCCGTTATTATCGGGGAATGTGCTGATTTGAAAATAGTATACCGTCCGATCCTTCTCTCCGCACTGGGAAACCGACAGTGCAACGACGGACGCCGGATCATCTTCTATGCTTGTTAGATGGGTTCGTGGTGCTAGACGCATTGTGTTTATGTATTGTATATAATACCATGGGTGGGCCTGCCTTCGCACGCTTCTGCCGCTTTACCATTTACCCGGCCCAGCGTACAATACCTAGGAAAGCAGACACAGTGGGGTGATATTATGGAAAGTAGCATATTATCCTTAGTGTCCAAACATAGAATCATCGACAAGTTCAACCACGGAAAAACTGCGGAAGCTAAAAGTCTAGACTTCAGAAGCAATGGTATGACATAAGACATAATGAAACTTGAAGCCATGGTCAAGGTCTCGAGTCAGAGGGAAAAGAGCCGATGTTGTAGGTTTTTATTGCGGGAATATGCACAGTGCTCGGCGAGTACTTCGGTCAGGCTGTTGCAGCCCGTTTATATAGTCATCAACCATACGATAAGAGAGTACACCAAAAGCCCGCTCACAGCAGCAATAGACCTATTTCTTACATAAAATGAATGGGAATTGGAGAAGAATCAACACGACTGGAAACTCGGATGCATTAGTAGGCGATACTTTGGCAAGTGGTTTTCTGAGGGGCCTCAAGTGACGGTTTCCCGAAACCCTAACTGAGGGTCTTTTGTCCTTCACTTCCACTAAAGCGACAAAGATATGTCAAGGATGATGTCGAAAGGTCAGATGAGGTAAAGACACGATATGTGCTCCAATCAGACACGTTAGGGATGACTTAGAAATGGGCAGTGTCTATATGACACACTTGACCCGAAGATCACAGGAACAGTACCGGTCGAGGTCGATCAGACCAGCAGTCGAGCAACCCGACTCTATTCTGCCAGGTAGTACAGAGCAACAACAGACAAGCAATATAGGAGAGCAAAGCTAGTGGGCTCGCTGGATCAAGCAAAAAGAGGTCAAATGCGTCCAGGGAGAGGATCGAACTCTCAACCTCACGATTAACAGTCGTACGCGCTAACCAATTGCGCCACC